AGAAATCATTTTGGAATGAGAGGGTGAAACTGATGAGTTGTTTTTAGATTTATCAAGTCTGAGGTTCTCATGATATACACAAGCTGAAATATCTCAGAGGCAGTCTGAAATACTGACAGAGAGCTCACGCAAGAGGTCTGAGCTGGACTATAATGCTGAGATTTACTAGGGGGTGAGCAGTTGAAGCTCTGGGTAAGGATGAGTTTGCTCAGGAAGAATGTATAAAGAAAAGACAATGATCAAAAGTAGAAACCTTAAAAAAGCAACAACTTGTGGCGGGGGGAAGACCATGTGAACAATGAGAAAGAGTGGCTTGAAAGGGAGGACAAACAGGAAGCCAGGGAAGAAGTGAGACTGAAGGAAAAGGGAATAATCAAGTGCCAACTGAGCACAGGGGCAAGTGGAAAATGATCAGTGGCCACTGGATTTAGCAGAAGGCACTGATGCTCATCGGAAGAACAGTTTCAAAGAAATGGTGGTAGTGAAAGTCAGAAGATGTGGGTTGAAGGCCAATTGGTCAATGAGGAAGTGTAGGCTGCTTTTTCAAAGCAGCATGACTGACTATGAGAGAGAGCGGGATAGATTACAAATAGCAAAGGCAGTAGGGCAATGCTGCATAACTGACCAAACAAGTTAACAAGGAAACAGAACATGCAGAACACCACGATTAAAAACTCACCACAGGTTCCTATTCCTGTGAAACATAATTCTCCACTAGTGGCTGGCTCTGACATGTATCTCTAAAAGAGTTAACACCAGATCCCAAACTCTAAGAATATGGGCTCTTTTCATTATCGTTCACTTCTGGGGTTATTGATGCTTTGTTGCAGTATTGAGATGTAATTTTATTAATTTTGATATATTCCTCATATCTTTAAAAATAGTGGAAAGTAATGATTTATAAATTCACCAACATTAAAATATATATTTCAAAAGCATTTTCCAACAATTCGGTAAATTCCAAATTGCTGAAGTCTAGCCACATCCCATATTATTTTCTGAAAATACAATAAATATAAGACAACTTATCCAAATCTTCCTCTAAAATGTTGATGTTGTAATTAAATGAATAATTTTACAATCTCATGCTTTAGGTTGAAAAGGTTATGCTGTCATGTCTAGAGAATATTTACTGTGGTCTAAAATCCTATCACAGTAAACGTTTCTAAGGTATATGGCACATCACCTTAATACCAGTGATTGTTTATCAAAAAAGGCTCACTTCCCTCAAACACAATCAAGATATGGGATTTAGGTTATATCCATAACCTTAGTGTTGGCCAGCTGGCTTTAGTTTGGTGACAGCTCTAGAGGTTCAACCTAGCTTTTTCATACCTGGGTAATAAAACAAGATTGAAGAGATGGCATTGGCTTCTCTTTGTGCCCACTAAAGCAGAAAGTGGTCATGAAATAATTAACTCAGTAACTGTTATAAAAATACTATGATAGAGAAAATTTTGATTCCCTTCTTCTTGGTTTACTGTGACACACCCTAAAAATAAAGTCCCCAAGGTAACTGCAAGATCTTATCACCTTTTAGAAACTTTTGGAAACATAACAACTGGTTAAAGGTTAATTACACAAACACAGATCATGTGGGTATTTGTTCTAAAGTACTTAGGAATCCAGGGCTTGATTCTTACTAGAATATCCCTGTGAGGTGTGGGAAAGTTCCACAACATAAGAGAAAATCAGCTTCAAGTATATCTGCAACAAAATCATTCCAAATGTCTCTAACCAACCATGAGAGCAGGAGGTAACTTGAAATTCATTAAAGAAAATTAACTACATAAAATAAAGAAAATTTACTATGAAACAGGTGAATGTCCTCGAATCTTATTATAGAGACTCTGTCCCTATTACACGAGGCTGGATTTGTGGGGACTACTTCCATGCGCAGATATTACCTATGGGAAGAGAGCGTATGTTACTAGAGCTAGAATTGGTCTATCACAGCATTCAACTATCTAGCCCATTGTGGAAACTCAATACTTGTTCAACAAAATAATAAATAATTTCATTAATAATACTACTTTCAGTAGATTCTAAACCATATTAGACATAATCAATTCTGAATTCAGCAGATTCTGAAACTATTGCAGGACACTCTGTTATAGAGGCACATCATCTTCTATACTACCAAGTTTACTCAGTGGAATGAAAAGGATGTGACAGGAACAGAAACACCGAGGTCCTATCCCAGATCACCACTCAACCTGCATCAACGCAAGTGACTTCCTCACACCTTCTAAGGCATTTCTTCCTTTTGTGAAACTGGGATGGTAACTGCAATTTCCAGACATGACTGTGTGTCAGATGGGACTGAATCAGAGTCAGCTAACGTCAGTAGTGTCATTAGAAACCACAGTTAAGATGAAAAAAAAAGAAGGAAATAGAAATAAGGAAGTTAAGGCTCCAAGAGGTTAATGACTTGCTCAGGATCAAAGAGCAGAGAGTTGGAAAGCTCAGTTGGATACTATTCATGATAAAGAGATTATTGCATTTGTAGAGCAATTACATTACACATAAAATACTATTTCAGAAAAGAAACATTTTCAAGTAATGGCAGTGATGAATTACATTATCAGTTGGAAGTAGATAGGGGCCTCAAAGCTCATCTAATCAAATACTTTTTTTTTTTTTTTTTTTGTGGTATGCGGGCCTCTCACCGCTGTGGCCTCCCCCGCCGCGGAGCACAGGCCCCAGACACACAGGCCCAGCGGCCATGGCTCACGGGCCCAGGCGCTCCGCGGCACGTGGGATCCTCCCAGACCGGGGCACGAACCCGCGTCCCCTGCATCGGCAGGCGGACTCCCAACCGCTGCGCCACCAGGGAAGCCCTAATCAAATACTTTTGTAGATGAGAACCTGAGATTACACTAAACTCGGATGAAAACTGAGGTCCACTTTCTCCATGAACAATACCACCTTACGTGTAAAATACTTTATAAATTATAAACGGATAAAGGGCTATAAAATGTAAGTAGTTGAGGGAGACAATTATTGTGCATTGGCCTTGAGAGATTCTGAGTGCTGTTTTTGGAACTGCATGGTTTAATATACCTCATCATCTATTTGTATAAGTTGTGGTTTTGGTTGCAGAGGAATGGAGAGAGAGACTAGTATCTGTTTTCTGCCTAGACCTGAAGGTTAGGACTTAAGCCTGGTTAGAGGAACAGGTTAGCATCTAAGGTTGGAAAGGATATTTCCATGAAATTCACTGTAAGATACAGGGCAAGAGTACTGCCATTTTGGGTGCAGATGTCTAAGTGTGACACTGGGAATTGTACTTTGGGCATTAATATCATAATTTCAACTGTGCACACAGCTGGTATAATCCAAGACAGTCGAATTATACATTAGCAGTAATAAAACTAGAGGTGTATCCTAACTTAGAGAACCCAAAGAAGTTTATAATTTGTGTCATTTTCCAAACTATTTATAACCTTAGCATATTTAATCTCTATGCTGTTGCCAGATTAATATTGCTCAAACCGAACTTTGTGTAGCTGCATTTTTAAAATCCTCAGTGTCCCCTCTCTCTATATATATATGAAATAAACTTTTTTGGCCTCTGTCTGATGCTCTTCCCCAAAATACTGCCCAAGGAGAGGCAGTAAAGCAAAAGGCTTAGGTGGGAATCAGACATATGTAGGGTCTAATCCTGGCTTCATTATTAACTGGCTGTGCCACCTTGAGCAAGTTCTATAGACAGTCCAAGCCTCATGCTAACTGAAGCAATAAGTCCCTGAACAACGCTTGACCTAGAAATGTTATGGATGATGATTGGAATGCTGATGTATGTGATGTGATGAGAGTTACGATCCCTAGAAGAAAAAGGACAACATAAACGTGCTCTGTGCTTCTTGCCTTCTTTGCCTTTGCACGTGGGTTTTCAGTGGCAGGGAATACTTTTTTAGGTTTTTTAAAACCTTACAAAGTTTTAAAGACACAACTCAAATCCTACATACTAGAGTCTAGCACAAGACCTTGCAATAATACTTCTTTGTCATGATAATAATGATAAGTATTCCTGACATTAAAGAGGCCTCTTTTCCTGGATGAAAAGTCAGATATTGCCCATCCAACTAAGATGATACTTGACATTTGTACTTGTGCCTTTTCTTCTAATAATTCTGAGAAAATTAAAAAGTGTGAAATAGGGACTCCCCTGGTGGCGCAGTGGATAAGAATCCACCTGCCAATGCAGGGGACATGGGTTCCATTCCTGGTCGGGGAACAAAGATCCCACATGCTGCAGGGCAACTAAGCCCGTGTGCCACAACTACTGAGCCTGCGCTCTAGAGCCCAAGTGCCACAACTACTGAAGCCCATTCGCCTAGAGCCCATGCTCCACAACGAGAGAAGCCACCACAATGAGATGCCCACGCACTGCAACAAAGAGTAGCCCTGGCTGGCTGCAACTAGAGAAAGCCTGCGTGCAGCAACAAAGACCTAACACTGCCAAAAATAAATAAAATTAAATCTTTAAAAAAAAAAAGTGTGAAATAGTATTATGTGTGTGGATGTAAGGGACATATAAATATTTGTTAAAATATTTTCCCAAAACTCTTCAGGCAGGCTGTTTAGACTAATCCTATGTCAATTTTAAATTCTAGAATCTTTGCTTCCTGGGGGAATCAATTTCCCCCTCAAGCAATGTTTTCCTACACACACTTAGGGACAAAAATAATTAGAGGAAGCTCTATTCAAGGAGAAGGGGAAATATATTAAATTTTTCAATTTCTGTTCTATGGTAGGAAGAACTAAATCACTACTCCATTCTAAACCTATCAAAGAAAATAAAAACTTTGAAGTCCTGCTTTATGTGTCATTTAAATACTTGCCAATTAGTCATATGATATAATTGCATCTCACATAAACATGACCTTTTTCTAAGCGTTTAGAAAAAGTGATTATCTTCCATGACACATACATCTCATTTGATCTGAAGACAATTTACTTTCCTCTAGACATCTCCATGTGTGTATAAAACTTACAGTGCCAAGGTCAATGATGAAGCAGTCACCCTTGTTGAAACTGTCCCAGGTTAGGGGAACTTCTGTGGCCCTGACCACTCTCCGACCTTTCACATGCAGGAGTCTCTGGGTGGTCAAGTCATTTGTGAGAACATGATTGAGTCCAGATGCCACACCTCCAGCCTGATCAGTGGAAGGAAGATAGAAAACAAACAAACAAAAAAGGATGAGGCTTAGAACTAGACACAGCAGCTTAGAAAACCTCAGGTGTTAGTGCCAAGCTGCCTGTTAGGCCAAGATAAGATACCCACTTAAGTGCATGTGAAAAATTAAATATGTGGAAGAGAATTTCCTGGCAAATCAACAGGTTTTTTTTTTTGTTTTTTTTTTTTTATACACAATGTATTTATTTATTTATTTATTTATGGCTGTGCTGGGTCTTCATTTCTGTGCATGGGCTTTCTCTAGTTGTGGCAAGTGGGGGTCACTCTTCATTGCGGTGCGCAGGCCTCTCACTATCGCGGCCTCTGTTGTTGCGGAGCACAGGCTCCAGACGCGCAGGCTCAGTAATTGTGGCTCACGGGCCCAGTTGCTCCATGGCATGTGGGATCTTCCCAGACCAGGGCTCGAACCTGTGTCGTCTGCATTGGCAGGCAGATTCTCAACCACTGCGCCACCAGGGAAGCCCTCAACAGGTTTTTGTTTTGTTTTGTTTTAGGCTCTTTATCCTTCCTATTTTAACCATTTGATTTAATACTGCAAATATTTACTGAAAACCTTCCATGTATAAAAACCTGCTACATAAACAGAAAAGAGCTGTAGCTCTTGTCCTCTGGGAACTAATGATTCTCAAACCATTGAGTGAGAAGGTAGACAAGGATTTCAGAAAAAAAGGTGACAGGAGGTTAACAGAGAGTCAGAAGTCAGAAGTACAGACGAGGAGAGCCTAGAGAATCAGGCAGACCAAAACTCCCACGGTCACAGCCTCAGGTCAGAGAAGGGAGCTGAGTGCTGGCCAGGTATGGGCTGCTCCTAATTTTGGTCCTTGTTTTTTTACATTAAAAAATCACCTGTTTTATTTATTTAGGTAAAAAGAGTTTACAAAATATACCAGGCCTAAGTATTTATACTCTAAATCTGGTTGCACATCCCCAACCAAAACAAAATGAAAATCAAAGTACAACCACACTGAATTAAGAAATGCTGAAGAAAAACAGATTAACTGAATCAAGCACATCTTCTTGCACCATTTGAAATCAGCTTTTCCCTTTTTCATTCTTTTCCCGAATTAAATGTTAAGGACAATAATCTTTATTTACTTCCATAATTAACTATGAGGTAACGTGCAGAATAAAGGTGCAATGTAAATAAAACTGTTATTGATCAAAAGCCTCCCTGAGGGCTTCCCTGGTGGCGCAGTGGTTGAGAGTCCGCCTGCCGATGCAGGGGACATGGGTTCGTGCCCCGGTCTGGGAAGATCCCACATGCTGCGGAGCGGCTGGGCCCGTGAGCCATGGCCGCTGAGCCTGTGCGTCCGGAGCCTGTGCTCTGCAGCGGGAGAGGCCACAACAGTGAGAGGCCCGCGTACCCCAAAAAAAAAAAAAAAAAAAAAAAAGCCTCCCTGATAATATGGTAAGAAAATTAGCAGTAAGAAGCCTATAAAATAATCCAACTTTCAAATTTTTTACATCAACATTATACAGTAAATCCAAAGAAAGAAGTGAAGCTTCTGGGCTTCCCTGGTGGCGCAGTGGTTGAGAGTCCACCTGCCGATGCAGGGGACACGGGTTCGTCCCCGCCCAGAAGGATCCCACATGCCACGGAGTGGCTGGGCCTGTAAGCCATGGCCATTGAGCCTGTGCGTCCGCAGCCCGTGCTCCGCAACGGGAGAGGCCACAACAGTGAGAGGCCCGCGTACAGGAAAATAAAAGAAGTGAAGCTTCATATGTAATCAACAGCACATTCTTTAAATTTCCATTGACTTTAGACTTCTCCCCTTCTCCAAAAGGCCCTCATGAATAAAAAGGTTTTGTTAGTATATGCTAAATGTTGACTTCCAGACAATTACAACCACAAGCTTTTACAAATATATAATAATTTCCCACTTCATAATTTTAAAAAGATTGCCATATTTCTTGACTGCACAAAGTATTATACAATAAAAATAAATTCAAGTTTTTCACCTACATATTACTATGCTTGGCCACCTTAATTTTTTAAAATAAGAGGTACACTGCAATCTGATAAAAAAATAGCATAAGAACACTGTGTTCTGTAAAAAAATTATAAAATATGAGTTGACTTAAACTGAGAATACATATATAACATTTAGGATAATTTCATATGGTGAACTATCAGAGTATATATAGTCTGTGAACATTTAATGGTATTTTAAAAATTAATTTTGTCTCTAATATTCGATGCCAAAAATGCACAAAAGAAAAACTTTTGTTTCATACATGTCTGTATCAGACAGTAATTCTTCTGTGAATACTGTTTGAATGACCCCTGGAAACTCCCAGCCTCTTTCTACCTATTCTACAGAATGAAAGCAAGGTGGATGATCCTCTAAATCAAGGGCGCCATAAATACAGTTTTACTGGCTGACAGATGTCTGATTGTTGCTATTTACAATCATGATTGGGGCTGGGTCTTGTTCAGCTTGGGAAAGGTGCTTAGCCAGAGATTTAATGTAAGGAAGTAGTAGTAAGTAATTATTTATTATTTTATTTTATTTTATTATTTATTTTTGGCTGTGTTGGGTCTTCGTTGCTGCGCGCAGTCTTTCTCTAGTTGCGGTGAGCGGAGGCTACTCTTCGTTGCGGTGCGCAGGCTTCTCATTGCAGTGGCTTCTCTTGTTGTGGAGCACGGGCTCTAGGCGCACAGGCTTCAGTAGTTGTGGCTCACGGGGTTGGTAGTTGTGGCTCGCGGGCTCTAGAGCTCAGGCTCAGTAGTTTTGGCGCATGGGCTTAGCTGCTCCATGGCATGTGGGATCTTCCCGGACCAGGGCTTGAAGCCCTGTCCCCTGCATTGGCAGGCAGATTCCTAACCACTGCACCACCAGGCAAGCCCAGTAGTAAGTAATTAGTCCTCTGTAACCCCTCCCCAACTCCCTATAAAACCTCACAGAGGAAAAAAAAACTCAAGTCGATTAAATGACATGGGAAGATGATATTAATGTTTCCTAGCTGCATCTTTATCTTATATATAGCAACCAAATGTGGTTGTTGCTGACTTGGGAATGGTAGACTTGGACAAGTTTTAGGCATTTCAAAAAGACACAATATCCTTTCCATAGAGTATTCTTAAATTAAAAAATTCATCTGGGCATTTGAACAATTTACTTATGTTGAGAGCATCATAGCATCATGGTTACCAGCTTGTTTGTTTCAGAAGTAAAGCCATTTGATGATTATTGTTTCAGGCCAAAACACATAAATTCTATGCGTGTGTATGGGGGCGGGTGTGTATGCCAGTGTATGCATAGGAGTTTGTGAGGCTCAACCACACATATGTTCAACTCAGTGGTTTCATTTGTATCATTTCCAAGATCATACTACACTATTTGGGAAATGTGTGTATAGTTCTTTGTATTAACTGAAGTTATAATTGTTATAAATACTGTACTAATATATTCCAGAACAACTGAAATTCCCAAGTTGTGGATTATTTGCAGCAAATTAAGTGATTCTTTCAAATAGCAAAAATGAAAACTATTAATGCACAAGTTGCCCATATTTACTTAGCATCATTAAAAATTAACCTATCAAATGAAATTAAGTTAGAATATTTCACACATTATACCATATATTCCACAAACATTTATCAAGCACTTATTATGGGTCTCAAGAGTACTGGGGATATATCAGTGAACAAAACAGATTAAAACAAAAACAAAACAAAACAAAAAACCCTGCCCTCAATGAACTTACATTCTATGAAGGTATGAGGTGTGGATGGATAGGAAAAGAAGAGGGGGTCATAAAACAGTTTGAGAGAGGTGCTCACCTTGTATTTCAGACCTCCTTTGAAGTAGCCAACAAAATCCATAGACTCATAGCCTTGAAGTTCTCTATTCTGCACGGGCTTGCCACCCAAATAGTCATCCATCTGAACGGTAAAGATGGCAGCTGCTGCGCTTTCATCCTGAGTACACTCCTTTCCTGAAACGGCCAATGACAGCACCTCATTTATCAAGCAAGAAACAGGATTAAGGCAAAATTTCTGATAAGAAAACACTCAGAAATTTTCTTTGAATTATATGCCAATACAATAAATTTATGCATAAATTGTTCATCTTCAACAGAACAATCAGCAGAAATGGTATAATATAAAATACTATTTTAATAACTAAAGGAATTGTTTTGTTCCCACTTTCCAATTCTTTTTTTTTTTATATTTAAAAGAAACGCCGCTGTCAGACTATGTTCAGGAAGACATAATAATATATTCCAGTAGGATTCACATTCATTTGGTATAGTCAATGATAAGGCTATGAAAACATTTTTCAGTTGTTTTAGCCTTTCTCAGAATTAATCTCCAGGCTTCCAAAATGTCAATATGTTAATATTTGTAAGGAATACAAACATCATGGGCCAGAGCTAAACAACACTTTGAGAATGGGAAAATGGATGTAACTTGACTTTACCACTGTTTTTGAGTACACTTGTCCCCACTTCACTATCTTATTGGCATAAGATAATATTCTCGGAAGGAAAAGGGAGGGTAAAGGAACCAGAATGCTAACATCTTTTGAATGTTAACGTATGCGTATTACCCTGGGAATTTAACACACAACACACAGTTAATTTTCATAATTCTAATGCAGATCCCATCCAGGCAACCTCACTGAGGTCCAAACACCTATTCTTAAACCCAGTGTCTTCGATGTACACAAAGATCAGAGCCAGGACTGCCCTGATGGGACCTCAAAATTTATAAAAGACATTTAAAAACTTCCACTACTTAAGCTGTGTGAAAATCATTAATGATTCTAGAAATAATAATAATAGCTAACATTTATACCTTTATAGCACCCTTGCTATGGGCCAGGCACTACATTAGTGTTTTACACTGATAATCTGATTTAATCTTCAAGTGATCCAATGTAGCAGAAACCATTTTCTACCATGTTACAGCAGAAGACCTGGAGGCTTAGAGAGACCAAGTAAATTCCCTGAGGTCGTAAAGTTGACCTTTGATAGAACATGACCCAGAGGCAGGTGTCTGTGACTCTGAAGCACAGTCTCTTAGAAATTACAATACTAGTAGATATTTTTTATACTCAGACTCTCATTACCAGTAAAATTTTGAGGTGATTGGGGAATGTTATTTTCCTCCACGGATAATTGATGCATGAATGTTCAGAAGCTGTAACAATACTATAGTTCAACTGGAACCCCAATTAAGAGTATTCATGAAAGTTGGAAAAAGGAAGTCAGTCAGGTATATTAAAGAAAGAATTGGGGGCTTCCCTGGTGGCTCAGTGGTTGGGAGTCCGCCTGTCCATGCAAGGGGCGCGGGTTCGTGCCCTGGTCCGGGAGGATCCCGCGTGCCGCGGAGCGGCTGGGACCGTGAGCCATGGCCGCTGAGCCTGCGCATCCGGAGCCTGCCTGTGCTCCTCGGCGGGAGAGGCCACAGCGGTGAGAGGCCCGCGTACCACAAAAAAAAGAGAAAGAATTGGATTTATTTACAACTCCTCTCACTCTCAGAGGGGCCCTGTGTAGTAAGTGTCTTCTCAGAAAAAAAATTTAGTAGCTAGAAGAGTATTTGACATGATGTCAATTTTGTGAACTTGTTGTGGTCAAAGAAAATTATTTAACACATAAAAAATCACATGCAATTTTGCAGTCTGAAAGGGCCTAGTGTCATTCTTCTGTCCACTTTCCCATCCATAAATTAGATTACTAATAAGGGCATAGATGTAGATTTGTACAGAGAGGCTTTAAGAAGGAAACTTAAATCAAGGTTAATATGAAAGGTGTTGAGGATGATGTATTTGATATAAATATTCTTACTTGAGTACAAGTTGAAACTGTAATCTCTTTAGGTAGATGAAAATGGGCAGGCATGAGACTAATGAATGAACTAGAAGTAAGTTAGTTAAATTATGCTATCATTTGTTGATGCTTATGCACTGTGCAAGGCGAGGGAATGTCATTATGAATAAACCAGAGTCTTCTAAAGAGGCTGAAAGGTCTTAATGAAGCCAATACTAGCCTTTGAAAATGAAAACTAAAATCAAATTCAGTTATATTATGATGAAATTCTAATAAGTGTTCAAAAACTTACAAATGTTCTGAATGAGTATGCTTATGACTTCATTTATTTTCCCTATGCTAATTTTCCCAATGCCTTCCATGTTATGCTGTTTTGTGTTATGTTATTTTATACTATGTTATATTATATTTGTAAATATGCTGTAAACTTCCTAAAATTGTTTTGTGGATGTGATTTTATATATAAAGCATAAATAAAAAGAGAGGTTTAATGACTAAGTTAACTGAACAACCATTCATGATAAAAAAAACTCTCGCCATGTTAGGAACACAGGGGAAAATCCTCAACTTGATAAACAGCATCTTCAAAACACATACAGCTAACATAAATTCTTAATGATCAAAGACTGAATCCTTTCTCCTAAAGATGGGGAACAAGGCAAGTACTCCTACTCAACATAACACAGGAAGTTTTAACGACTGAAAAAGGTAGGAAAAAGAAATAAAAAAACATACCTATTAGAAAGGAAGAAAAAAATGTGTGTCTATTTAGAGATGACAGGATGGCCTACATAGAAAATTCTATGGAATCTACCAAAATAAAGCTCTTCAAAAAAAGTGCATTCAGCAAGATAGCATGATGAAGATTAATCAATAATAAAAAGAAGTCTCATTTTTATATAGAAGCAATGAACATGCAAAAGTTGAAATTAAAAGCACAATACCATTTACAGTCACTTCAACGAAACTGAAATACTCAAATACATATTTAACAAAACAGGTACATGATCTACATGCTAAAAACTATAAAATGGTAATAAAAAATCAGACCTTAATAAATATAAAGACAGTATTCATGGAATGTGAGACTTGTAATATAATAAATATGTCAATTTCCCCCAAATTGATCTATAGGCTTAATTCTATTCCTATCAAAATCATATTGTGGTTTATTACAGATTATATGAGTTAGTTTGTTATAAAATTAATGTGAAAAGGCACAGGCCCTAGAATAGCTAAAACAACTTTGACAAAGAAAAATAAGGTAAGAATACTAATTCTATCTGATATTAAGGTTTACTATACAGCCACAGTAATTAAATAAGACAGTGTGGTATTGGTGGAAGACACTAATTGGTATAGACACACAGATCAATAGACCAAGTTTCCTCCAATGTAAAATTTTGTAAAACTTTAGTATGTACAGTTTAGTATACTACAGTATATTAAGGTATAAGTATATAAGTACAGTACAGCACAAAATGCCACAACGAGGATATTGACATTGATACAATCCACTTATCTTTTTTATATTTTCCCAATTTTACTTGAACTCATCTGTATTTGTACATTTAGTTATATACAATTTTATCACATATGTAAATTTATACATCCACCATCATAGTCAAGATACTGCATAGTTCCATCACCAAAAAATCCCTTATGTTGCCTTTTGATAACTACACCCACCTCCCACCTGAATCCCCCCTCCCCTACGTCATCTCTAACCTCTGGTGACAATAAGTCTAAAATTTAGTCATTTCCAAAATGTTATATAAATGGAATCATATAGCATGAGACCTTTTGGCATTTTTTTTTTCACATGGCATAATTCCCTAAGGGATTTTGTGTTTATCAATAGTTTGTTCCTTTTTGTTGCTGAGTAGTCTTCCTTGGTATAGATGTGCCACTAGTTTAAACAGTCACCTGTTGACAGATATCTGGGCAGATTCAAGTTTTTGTCTACTCAAATAAAGCTGCTATGACATGCATGTACATGTTGTTGCATGAATATAAAATTTCATTTCTCTGGATTAAATGCCCATGAATGCGACTGCTGGATCACATGGTAGTGGCATGTACAGTTTTGTAAGAAACTGACAAACTCTTTTCCATAATGGTTGTACATCTTATATTCTCCTCTACCTCAAGCAATGTATAAAACTCCAGTTTCTCAGCATCCTCTCCAGCCCTTGTATATTATAAGCTCCTTGTATTGTACATTGTATACTGTAACCCAACTTTTTGGATCCTCATGCCTTACAAAGAGCCCAGCACAGATAGATGTATTTAAACTGCTAGGTACAAAGCTGAAATGTTTTTTCAGGAAGGACCGATGCAACAACTTCTAAGTTACATGCAACAAATTCCTACTTTGTAAAGGAAACAAAAAATAAATTTAAAAAATGAAATAATCTGAGATATGCAAAGGTACTATGGAAAGACACTGAGGGAGAGACCAGGAAAGATGACTCTTCCTCTGTTCTCCCGTTCTGTGCCCCACTTCTTCCTGTTTCCCCTTTCTTCCTCTTACTTGGCGGGTTTCTTCATTTCTACACCAGCCACCGTTTTTTATCCCAGGCTGATTTTAACTCTACTCTCTTTCATCTTCCTTCCAACTGACTTCCTTTAGTCAGACTTTCTCTTTCCTTGAAACTTCAGCTCTCCCACTTGGAACTTTGTCTCAATCTGTCCCTCTGAATAATCCTCATGAATTCACCAGAGTTTAGGTCTTAGAGTAGAATACATTGGATGAAATCCAGCTTGCTCAGGGAACTGAAGTAGGGAGAGCTGCTGAACAGTTCCACCTACAGGTCCTGCTGACTATAGTGAGCTAAACTTTCCACAGTTCCCATGATTTTCTCTTGGCACAAGATCCCTCCCAATTCCCCTCATTTTCCTTTTTTTCCATTAAGGCTTCTCTGCTTCCCCATAACCACAGACACGTGGTGTCTCTTTCATAGTGCTCATCACATTTTACCTGGGTTATATCACTTTTTGTTTTATTGCACCTTTGAGATTGTAAAGTTTCAGGAAAGGTTCATAAATCATTCATATGCAAAAATGCTGGGCACACCATGCTGGGCACGTTGAAAGTTACTGAATTAACTTATTAATTAACACACTATTAAGTTCAGTTTTAGTAGACCTTTAAGATCATAAAATGTTTTTGCCCAGAGCATTTTCTATTACATTTTTTGAAACTGGTGAGCACTAAATGAATGGGTTAATTAGAATCTGTAAACCCTATGAAACACAGTGGTTGAAGAACTTACCTGGATAAGAAAGAACCTATAGAATTAAAACTATTGTGTTTAAAGCCCCCTTGGAATCCTCTGACAAAGTCAAACTTAACTGCTGTCTACACAGCATGATATGAAGTTCTTTCACATTTTAATTCACCAAAATGACAGATGTGGTATTTCAGATACTTTTACTCATTCCAGATCCAAGTTCTAAACAGAAAAACCAAGGTAAGAACGTTATTATTCTATGTGGCATCATTCATTCATGAACATTCATTCATGAACATAAGTTATACATTAAGGTTTCAGTGGGGAGTTTCTTGTAGGGGGTATAAAATATAAACACATCACTGTCTGTGATAATAGGAACATTTCCTAGTGACATTACACTAGGAAACCAAAATGAGTTTAGATCTCAGCCTCAGCCTCCTCAAGCAAGCACAACATTTTAATATCAAGTGCTGTAATGAAACAGTGCTGTCTCCCTCTATGGATTTCTCATTTGGAGTGTTTGCTCCGGGTGTTTGCTAATATTGAGAACATCACTTAATGTTCTCTACCATTTTGTTTCTTAAAATCTGCAAATGTTAGGGGGAAAAATGACTTTCAGGGACTTCAAAATGTGTATGTGCGTGTGGTTTTGTGTGTTTTCCCCATAGACTCATGAATAAAACTAAAAATAAACACAGTCTAGGGGAGGCAAGCTGATTTTAAAAGAAGGCAATAAGGCTCAGATAATCGGTGCGTTGTTAGACGGGGTGTGCCCACTGGCACAGGATCTCACAGGGAGAGGTTAGACATTCAGGATGTTTACGAGCAAAAGTAGAAGGTGGGAAAAGTAGAACACTCAAGACCCAGTGTCCTGAGAGCCTGGCGCGGGTGAAGCTCAAAATTACTACTGATGAAGGAGCTGTTTTGTTCCAAACTGCCTTCTTGTTCAGATACATAAATAATAAATTTTAAAATAATCATTATTATTATTATTATTATAAAGCAACTCATCTAAATACAAACTCTGCCATATAAAGCAATTTACTTATATTGATAAAGCCGCCAGCATCCTAATCAACAGGAATTTCTCTTAGCCAAACCTGCAAGCAGCGCGGGGCAGGCTGGAATCTGATTTAAAGCGGCCCAGAACATTAATCGCCGCAAATAATAGAGAACTCTAAGCTGACGCCCAAGGGCAAAAAATAAAACTAAATAATTTTCTTAAAGGAATTCTCGCCGTCTGCGGCGAATGCCCACAAACTTGTTTGACTTCATCTCCTCGCTGCCAGGGGAACCAGGACTGAACCTGTCGGAAGGTGAGCCGAACTTGGCCAGCGCCAGGGTGCAGCGGGCGGCCGCCCCGGGCGGGAGGTGGGTTTGGAGACTGGAAGGTGAAAGGGGGTGAAGCGAGAGGAAGCGGCGCCAAAACCCGGGAGATGGACACGACAAAGGTCAAAGCTAGTGAGGTAAGACTGCTCCCGACTTCGCTGCGCCCCGCGTTTGCAGGAGCGGACGCCAGCGGGGAAAAGGTGCCCAGGCCCAAAGTGGGGGGGAGGTGGGGGGAGGCCCACGGGGGCTCAACCGGCGCGAAGGGTCTCCAGGCCCGTCCGGCTAGCGCTGCCCTGCCCACCAGCCCGCAAAACTCAACCCCCAGCGGCCACGCCCTTCCCCGACCTGGGCGCGCCCGGGCCCGGCCGCCCGCGTCTCTCACCGAGCCAGAAGTGCAGGCGGTACGTGAATCCCCGGCTGGCCTGGGTCGTGTGTAGCACCAGGTACGCATCCCCGACGTAGAAGTCACCGTAAGCGCTCTCGGGCACGGCCACCAGCTCTAGTTTCTCGATCCTCCAGACCTGCAGCCCCGCCTGCTTGCCAGCCCGGGCGAACTCCTCGTGGTACAGCCCCTGGGCCATGGCTCGGGCACGCGATGCTCCGGGAAGTTGGCGAGGTACCCCGCCGACCCTGGAGTCGGACTGAACCCAGACTTGCAGGAAGAAGCAGCGGTTTTATACGGTTTGCTCTGCGGGGGCGGGGCCCCGGGACCCCCAAATGGGAGGGGCCAAGTGCTCAGGCCGGAGTTGCTTTGGAGTAGGCGATCCGTTCTCCTCCGAAGCGTAGCGCCTGGTATCAACCTCCTATGTCCTTCCCCGCAACCCGAAGGAAATCAAATCTCAGAAACCATAAGATCCTAAGGATACTTGCTGAGACTCCTGGAAATGCCTCCTCCAAGGAAGGACATTTTCCCAGGCAACAGCTGGAGGAGATCAACAATTAAAACTCAGGTTGACGCATCGTTTAAAAAAAAAACTGGCTATCCAGGTGACAGTTAATCATCAACTCCGTCATTTTATCAGCCAGTCTCGCCATTCCCGATGGGCAAAGTTTTTCCGTCCTGATCTGCCCAATTTGAAAATGCCATGAGAAACAGCATGTCAGGTTTCTTGGAAAGAGGGAAAACCTGGAAGGATAGCAGTCTTACCTGGGGGACAGAGCTCTGTAAGTCCCCAGGGGTTTAGGGAGCTGTGGTTAATTTGCCACCTGCCTCCTTTGGGCAAGAGAGTTTGCTTTTTAAAAACAACAACAACAACAACAGCAGTCCTCCTGAGGTGTTCTCAGGCTGGGCTGTTTCTGAGTGTGATATTATGCTTAGCCTGCCTTCTGAGTTAACTGTTACCTGGCTTCAAGGTGCTAATTTTCTCATTGTTTTCCCTACAGCTTTTGCTTTTGCAGCATGGGCAAAGCCTTGTAAAATACAGATGGAAGTTTACTCCTTATTTTGCATTCATTTAACTGAAGCTGATATGGCAAAGGATTTTATTGTTATTGAGAAAGCAAATCGCGCATGGTGTAGAGTAAGAAAGCTGGTTTTTATGCACGTCCATTTTCTGTCACTGTTATCCAAAGTACAGAAGTCCACGGAAGGTAACTAATAACATACCATTTGATTTTTTCCTTAATTAATTTATGTTTTAAAATAGGTATTACATGACCATGGTAAAAAAATTCAAAAGTACAGGTGTGCAATAAAAATGTATCTCTATGTCACCTGCCATCCGGTTGCTTTCCCCAAAGGCAACTGAGTGACCAGTTTCTTAAGTACTTTTCCAGACATATTTGGTATTCTTTCATTTACAAGAATACAGATAACAGAGTAATTTTTATTTTCTAACAGAAATGGTAACATACACACTGTTCTGAACCAATATATCAAAATATTAGTAGCTAGTACTCAGAGCTGCTTCTTTTTACTGACCACAAGGTATCAAGGTATTCCATCTTTTAAACGTACTATAACTTATTTAATCTGTTCAAGTTCATAGGCATTTAAATTTTGCCTATATTTTGCTAACACAATTCTGAACATACTTTATTATACTCATGAATTATAACTATGAGATAAATTCCTGGAAATACAATTGCTAGAGGGGCTGGAATTCAATGCTTTTGATGACAGTGATGATAATTATGAAACCAGTCTCTACCATTTATCGTTCTTCTGCAATGATGGGGCACGGCAAAGATAGCTTTCATTCACTTCCCTGTCCATTCTTGGTTCTGTAGTCACCTAACTACAGCAAGCCTCAGGTTTCTCATCTATAAAATGGGAAAATAATAGTTTTCACCTTAAAAGATTGTTATTTGGATTAAATGTGCAAGTGTTTTTGTCTGTTACATAGAAAATGCTCAGTAATTAGGAGCTCTTATTATGCGGTGGTGAGCTTCCTTTTGCTCCTCTAAACCCCTTCTTCATCCTTCTGTTCCTGGCAGTCTTCCCTTAAGACCAGCCTGCATGGGCTAAAGCAACTGGGCTTCAATGCCCTCTAGCTTAGGGTTTGGTTGGAAATCAGAGGGAGAGAGGAGAGTGACGTCAGAGTATTTATTTCCTTGGCTTCCTCCACCAAAGGTCACTACTTTTAAAGACAAATAACTCTATCTGACTTTTCTCTCATTTGTATTCGGGCAGCTGTCCCCTCAGATGCATTATCCCTTTAGGTTTCTCTATCCTTCTACTTATATATATATAAAACCTCTAAAAAAAAATCTCCTGAATTTTCCTGTTTTGTATGTACCATCAGTCATAGGTTGAGATCCTAATTGATAAATACCATTAGCTACGTTCTCTTTTTTTCTTTCTAACACAAACAGTGATAGGTAGGTTTGAGAAGGCTTATTTTATAAATGAGGAAACTGAGGCTTCAGAACTTGTCAAAGATCACCCAGCTAGTGAGTGGCCGAAGGAGAATTCAAGCTCACTGTGTCTAATTCAGAAGCACATATTCTTTACAAAACCTTACTCTTTCGATCCAAATTATTTGGCCTAGATTTGTTCATATAAGTATACTTTATATTTTCATTTTCTTCAAACTTGTCCCTAGAGAAGCTTCTAATATGGTGTGTCCCATTCAGCACCAGGAAGCTTAGCTTTAACTTTGTGACTGAGCCGTTACATGTCTTGGTTTTCTTATCTATAAAGTGATAATTATTTGTTCTCTTCTTTCTTCTAGGGAAAAAATATGAAAACTGGTGATCTGGACTTAAGATAATTTAAAAATCAGAGTTATCACTTAAGTTCTGTTTCAGTTTTAGTCATAATTCCATTCCTTCTGGTGAAGGAATTCCTTTTAATGATTAAATAAAAATAAAAGGAAATAATTTCTTTTTATTAAAGAAATAAAACAGAACTTTGATGTATAAGTGAAATTCCCTCTTACTTAGGCCGGCAATAGGGTGAGGCAAGTGAGGCACCTGCCTGGGATGGAAAATTTACAAGTGCACTAAAAAGTTCAATAATCAAGATCAATACTAGTTTAAGGGAGTATTTTAAAAATCAAAATTAATGCAAAAAATATCATGATAAAAATAGCAAAGTTTAAAATAAAGACAGAATTGTTAACAGTGCCAGATGGGGCCATATTGGAAGCTGAGACAAAGGAAAAAATACTGATCTTCTTTTACTTAAAATTTTGATATTTTGGTTTATCATTTTTTTTGCATTACTGTGTGTCATTTTTCTTATCTGTGAAATGGGACTACTGACACAAATCCTTGTAAAATTGTCATGAGCATTAAATGGATAAATAAATATAAACCTGGAATAGTCCTGGTATAAACTCACCTGAGATTGATGAATGGTTAAATCACTTCTCCCAGTCCAATCTTGTAAGAATAATGTTTCTAAGTCTAAGTCAGATAGGGACTGCCAATTTCCTATACAAAAAAGGTCTCTAAAACCAGATGCCATTTCCTTTCCATGCCTTTATTTTTTCTTTCTGTCTCTCATAACCTAGGTTCCTAAAATTAGATTATTTTCTCCTCTTCATGTAATTGCTGTTCTCCCATTATCTGTCTATTGAAGGTTCACCATTTCTTTAAGGTTTAACTAAAGATACTCATCTTCATCATCATTATTCTCTTGGATCCATTAAACTTCAGCATCCTCTCTGCTTCCTCTCTCAGCCCAGGTAGAAACAGCCAAGGTGAATAAGATTTTTTGCTTTTGTTTTTAACAGGAATCTGGAGGTTTGAGGTGTGGAGCCTCATGGTTGAATTCAAGGTAGGTGTTTTTCTAGAACGTTAATGCCCAACGGGAAATGTTAGATAGTTTAATCCTTGAAATAAATAACAGTGTTAATACTGTAATTAATTCATTGTGCAATTCATTGGAATGAGTTAGTAAAAACAAACAAACAAACAAAAAGTTGGCTTCAGTGGTCTTCATTATCTAAATCATAAAATCTTAGGGTTGAGAGGCATCTCATTTTATTTCCATTATTGCATCATGACCACAGAATTGTTGAAATTAAACGTATGTGAAAGACAGGAAGTACACCTTTTTTTCCAAGAGAGGGATATGCTTCAAGTATTTTATTTATTTGCTTTCCTTTGATTATAAATAATGAAAGAATGTAATTAAAAATACATTTCTTGGGCTTCCCTGGTGGCGTAGTGGTTGAGAGTCCACCTGCCGATGCAGGGGACACGGGTTCGTGCCCCGGTCCAGGAAGATCCCACATGCCGCGGAGCGGCTGGGCCCGTGAGCCATGGCCGCTGAGCCTGCACGTCCGGAGCCTGTGCTCCACAACAGGAGAGGCCATGGCCACAACAGTGAGAGGCCATGGCGTACCGCAAAAAGAAAAAAAATACATTTCTTTTACTGGTCATCCTGCTAAATTGTATTAACATGTTTGATTTACCAAATGATTTAAGGGTTTAAGCATGGAACCTGGAGTCAGAAGACTTGAGTGTTGTGAGGATTAAAAAGGTAATGTATGTAGAAGCCCTGTGAACACAGTCAATAAACACGGTTACTAATCAGCAAGGGCCCTTAACCCCAGTACTTATCAAAGGCAGGTGATTATTAAAAGTGAAAATGCACTCTAAGGAAGTGTATTTCCATCCCTCCTCTCCATACCAGACAAACAAGAACTTTTAAAAAATTCACCTTTTTAATTTTAGATCAGCCAGGATCCAGGACTTTTTCTTTCACCAATTAGTTGGTTTAAAATTGCATATAGGGCTTCCCTGGTGGCGCAGTGCTTGAGAGTCCGCCTGCCGATGCAGGAGACGCGGGTTCGTGCCCCGTTTCGGGAAGATCCCACATGCCGCGGAGCGGCTGGGCCCGTGAGCCATGGCCACTGAGCCTGCGCGTCCGGAGCCTGTGCTCCGCAAATGGGAGAGGCCACAACAGTGAGAGGCCCGCATAACGCAAGGAAAAAAAAAAAAAAAAAAAAAAAAATAGAATAAAATAAAATTGCATATAATACTATAACTATAAAGGCATGGTCATGGCTCAATACTATGGTGAAGGTTTTATTGGTCTTGAACGTCTGCTGTTGTGATAATTTATTTCTTGTAAACCTATTTACCACAGCAGATTGATTCAGCACTTCCTTCATAATATTTTTATTATATATAAATCACCTATTATTATTATTACATAGGAAATAGCTAACCCCTGTGAGATTACTGAGAGAAGACATCATCATTACTTTAGGCGTTTACATACTAGAGAATGCATATAACCAAAAGAAGGGTTGAGGATACAAGGTCTCATAGAGATTCATGATCTAAAATGATAGTTTTGCTTTAAGCTTATGTTTATGCAAATAGAGATCTGAAGG